AAGAAAAAAAGGAAATGAGAAAGGAGAGCAGCCAGCAATGATTATAGGCCATTTTGCAACGTGGCAGGAATATCTTTTTTATCAGCTCTGTTACCATCATCTTCAATGTAAAGGTTCTTTATTTAAAGGAGGGGGGAAAAAAAACCCAAAAGGTGCCTGGAAGCATGCAAGGGAATGGCTAATGCAGCTGAAGTGGGAACTCATGCTCACTGCAGCTGCTTCATATGCACAGCATCAGGCCTTGGAACCATTGCAATAGAATTGTATGAGCCCCTGAAGACTCCCAGGCAGGATGGCATGGAAACTGATGTAATTACAGACATTATTACCATTAAAGCAAAATAATAATTTTAATTACAGCTAGGGCTTTTGGGGCTTTCTCTGATCCTCACTACCCCTGGTCACCATCTAGCATGGTCTGGTTCCAGGCTGTGTACTGGGACAGGGCAGTGATGGTTCCCTCCTTTCTCTCTCCCTCCCCGCCAAACACTTTTCTGCACGATTAAAAAAAAGTAATAAAATCCCCTATTTCAACTACATCACCATATTAAGGATGGAAACTGTGACCAACAGCTTGTGAAGGCTCAATCCCAAAGGCTTCTCCATGAGCAGAAGAGACTGCTGTTGATTGTAAGTGCCCGGCTGCCCCCTAATTAAAATAAATTGGTAAATCAGAGCTGAATTCAGGAGGTGCAACACCTGCAAGCTGGACTATAGGTACGCAGCCAATGCTGTGAGCTGCCCAGAAACTTTTCTTTTTATTTTTAAACTCCTTTCCCACAGCTGTGCCTCTAACTAGCATTTGCTTGAACTCAAGACGAGATGAGCAAATTCCCAAGGCAGATGGTTGTGGTTACAGATGCAGAGGGTGCCTTTCAAAAACAGAACCCCATTATAATTACTATCTCCTGTCAAGTTACAGATAGTTCTGTGCGGTGCGACTGTCATCTCGTGAATGTTTGGGGTGCTAAATAGCAGTCTATGGCCCAGAGCCTGGCTGAGGACAGCTTTTTGCTGAAAGATGTAATCCAATAATATATATTACTTTATAAATCATTTTGTTAAATGTAACAGAAGGAATGAGGTAGGGAAGGCACCAAAGAAGAGAAAACTGCACTGGAAACCTCTTGAGAGGACATTAAGTGAAGAAACCAACAATTAAGTGACCTATCTGCCAGCATGTGGCAACTGGTGGTGCTCCAGGCCCAGGAGAAGGCCATGGACAGTTCGAACTTGATCAGTGAGCTCAGCATTTTGGGGGGTTATGAGGGAAAACAGCTCTTCGCAAGAAGGTACTAGACTTGGTTACCACACAATACATAACAGCCTCAATGTCTGAGGAACCTCCTCTGCAGGACCCAAGATGTGCTCCTGCAGATAGCGTAGCACGTGGAAGTAGCAGATGCAGTAGAGAGGCTTGCAGAGTCATGCATTTTAACCATAAGCTTGAAGGTTGATCACTTCATAGATAAACGGAGGGCTGTGTGCCCCAGAAAGTCTCATTCCTGGAAGGTGCGACTGGAAAGCCCAGCAGGCACCCAGGGAAAACAGCCACCCTGATCCCAACACCACACTAGATGCCACAAAACTAACTTGTGGCTTGGCTCCACTTCACTTGCTTGCTTCACATAAAACCTCTGAACTGTGACAATGCAACAAGACTGAGTTTCCTATAGATCCAGTGAGATAGAAAAATAGATTAGATAAAGCAGATCAGACTTGTCAGAAACTGAGGCATCGCCACAACAGCCTGCCACGGGTTCAGCAATGTATGTCTCCCACTTTAAAAGCCAAACACTGAGACTCCCAGAAACATGGTACCCTGGGGCTGGGTGAGAACAAGGAGGGTAAAAAAAAGAGTGAGTACAAGAGGTGAAGTGCAAGGGATGCATCCAAGAAGAGAACAAACCCTGAAGGTCAGAGTAGCAAGCACATGAGCAGCTAACTAATGTACTACAGCAGCACCACAGGGCAGGGACACAGGCACACACGTCCTAGCAAACTGGAAAACCATAAAAGTCTATTATAGCAAATCAAACAGCAGTCAGCATGACAGCCATTAGCCTGAAATGAATACATGAGAACTTAATGAGCTCTGTCGAGGCCAGCTTGGTGAATTAAGTTGCCAATTCTAGCAGGATTCCCCTTTTCTTTACAGACTTTAAAGCATCCGCACCGCCTCGTTGCCTTTTGACAAGCAAATCACGGGGCACCCTTGCCCAGACGGGATGGACGATTACGCTGGAGCAATATCCATCTCCTGACACATGGACCCTTGGTCAGCTATTCCAGGCAGGTGCTGGGGATGCGATTAAGATATGACAAGCACAGAGGACCAGTGGCATCAGCCCAACACGAGTGATCCCTGGTCTAGGTATTTGGAGCTGCTGCGATGCAGAGGAGTCCACAGTTAAACTGGACATCCTCTCCCCTCTCCCCAGGCTAGAGAGGAATTGCAGTCTGCAGCCCATGCCCACATAAATTCCCATTCTCATATCAAGTAGACTGTGTAAAACGCCAGGATGGGTATTCAGAGGCAGTATTGTTTTTAAAGGTCAGTTTACTTCATGTTCCATTTATTTATGCACACTCTTCTTTTGACTTTCCCAGTGCCACACAATAGCAGTGAGGTTTAAATAGCCTTTCTGTTGCTGCTCCATTAGCTAGGACAACTGCAAATCGATACATCCATTTATCTCAAAATTAAAAAGAGAGAAACTCTCGTTAGCTGCCAATTCTGCACAGAGCCAGTCTATGCAAAGCCATGCTAGCGCTTCTGCTAGACTCTTCTGTGTTCCCAAGCTCCAGTCCCTGTTTATTCACTAGCCATAGGCCCTTTGGCTTGGGCTGGGTAGTCTTTGAGGTAGACTTTGCTACCCACACTCTCACTGCTTACCCTCCCCTGAGCTATCTGGATGGTGATCCAGGGACACTATCATCCCCTGCCCATGATGGGTTCCCCAGCCTTAGCTGCTCTCCAGGTGTCCTCTGGCTCCAAAAGCCTCAGCTTCTGAAGGCACATCTCCATGCTGTGCCACCTTCAGCTTTGAGTATTCGTGGAGAAGCAACAGGGAAAACACATGTCCCAGCAAAGCTCTCAAAGCAAGTGGGCATCTCTTCCTCGAGGGCTATGCCAGCACATGCATGGTAAGTTCATCACTCACATCTCCTGTGGGCCCTTGGAGTGTCCTCTTTAGATGGTGCGACACCATGCCCTGCCCTCATAGTGCCTGACAAGGAATGGATCTCTCCCCAGCAGAGGAACAGAAGTGCCTCCAGGATACCAGCTGAGCAATGCATTCGTGGCTCATTAGCCTCAGATCAGTGCCCTTGGTTAAAGATCAGAGATAGAAACTGGAAACTGGCACATGGCGTCTTATAATTAGATTAGGCCAACCTCCAGAAAAGCACAGCTTTAAAGGCCAATTGGCAGAGCAGGAGCACTGAGGGAAGCACCGTGCTTGCTAAACCCACTTTCCATCTCTCTCTTCACATGAAGAAGGGAGTCCTGTGTACCTGGTAAATAGCAAAACCACAGATAAATCTGAGGGCAGGGGAGAGGAGACCCTTCTCCTTCAGTCCTACTGACATTCCTTCTGCTTAGCAGACCTCTGCAGACAGACCACCAACCAGGAGAAGCAGCAGCAAGGCAAGACAGTCAAACGTCAGCTTCCAGAGGTCCAAGCAGAAAGGCAAAAGTGAGGAACAGCTCATGCAGGTTTTGCCAAGTCATTTCTGCACTGCTCGTGCTTCAAAGAGGAGAAGAAATGGCTCTGACCCAGTGTCATTCTCAAAGGGAGGTTTCAGATGACTTGGTGCAAAGATGAGACTAAAACTCCCAGCTCATACATCACAAGCAACTTAATGAAGAAACCTCATCCTCACAGCAGAGGGACAGGGAAAGATCAAAGCCCAGCATGGCAGGGCACCAGCAGCCAGCATATTAAATAAACCATTGTAACATAATCGTTTATACCTCTCAATTACTGTAGACTGCTTGATTTCACACACACAGAAGAACACTTGACCTCATGCACACCAGAGGCATGCTCTGGTAAAAACAGGCTCTGTCATGGCACCAGGGTGCAAGAGGGAGAGGTTCCTTCCCCTGGATGACATGAAGTGCCCTACTAATTCCTTATTTCAAATGTAATATCCTGACCATGTCTTCCTAGTACCAGCAAGCACCTTTTGCTCAACATTTTTAAAGCCAAAATTCACATCAGATCTGTAAGTTCCTGGTGTATTTCTGCCAAGCCAAGCCCTAGGTGCGGAAGCTGTCCCTGACAGTATGACTAGTATCACCTTCTTTGCAAGGACCAGCATGGAGAGAGAGTGGCAGAAGCTTGGGGAAACTGTTCTTGGAAATGTTCAACCCTTGGCTGCATAAAGCTGTGAGCAACCTGACCTAACATGAAAATTCTCTCTGCTCTAGTGGGAGCTTGTGCCAGATGATCTCCTGTGGTCTCTTCCTACCTATGCTATTTCTAGGACACCATGGGACAAGTCCTGCTACAGAGCTGTTAAAGGAAACCACCAACAAAAGCAGAAGCCTTTTGGCAGGACTCTGCCAGAAATCAGCAGTTTGGATAAATATTTATCCCTGCTTCAGATTGCCTCTGTGACAAGAACTGTACAGAGATTCTCCCCGGCTCAGAAGAAGAGAAAAAGAAACAGAATCACATTTACAACTATTTTCAAATCCCACATTTGCCATGGGAAAGACATCAACAAAGCTGTAAAGACTCTGAGTCACAAAGGTCCTCTTCCACCTGTCTTCCCAACACGCAAAATACAGTTCACTTTGTTTCTGCCCATTTTCAGGCAACAATAACTTCCCGATGTTTAATCCTGCCCCCAACCTCAGTGAGGGTCCATAGCAGGAGGACAACCCTGTGGCCCTCATACAGCCAGCTCTGTGGTGGCACCAGGCAGCAAGCATAGCCAAAGAGGGAAGAGCCAGAAGCCAGGCTGTGTGGAGAGGCTGCAGCAATCCCTACCTCTGGTATGCGGACACTATAGGGCTGGTTGTGGAATCGTGGGGGATTGTCATTCACGTCTCCCACTTGGATGTTGACTGTCCCTTTGATCACCTGTGGCCACAAGGATAAACAACAGAGAGTGGTTGTCAGCTTTATGCATGGATTTAAAACCTAAAGTAAGTTTGTGGCTGTTTTCTGATATGGGCTTTTGGCAATCAATGGCCAGGGGTGACCCTACTCCCCATACCCCTCAGGGTGATGCAGAAAGTCCCCCGGCGACCCATGTGTCCATCCTCCCTGCTCCCCTCCACCCATGCCATGGGCCATGAAATGAGAAATCACACTTACCCCTTGGCTGTCGCTGACAGAAAATTCAACCGTGAATTCTGACTTAGTCTGAAAGGCAAAGAGTAGAAAAACATATAATTAAAGATACTGTAGTGTTTATCTGTAGATGGCAGGCTTGGGACTTTTAGCCAATATTATTACATGCAAAATGCTTTCAGGACCTTCAAGAAAAGAAGGGGCGCTTGAGTGCAATTACCTACGTGGAGTATAAAATGCTGAGAAATATTAATGCCAGTGGTGTTCCAGTGTATTTCACAGACACAGAGAGCTACTCTGCTCTGGGACTGGAACTGGCTGCCTGATTAGCAGCTGAGAACTTTAAACAGACAACTAGGCTGAAGCAGGTGAGAGGCGTCCACTGTTTAACCTTCTTTAGCATGCCAGCAAGCACTAGCTCTCTTTGAACACCCACCCAGTCCCCAAAGCCAGAGGCTGCCTGCTTGTATCAGCAAGAGGGAGTAAAGTGCAAGGATGAGAAAAGCAGTTTTCCACCCACGGTGCCATCTCCAACTGCAAGATACAGGGACAATGCAAAAAGAGAAGAAAGTCCAAAGAAAAAGCTATGTAATTAGCCTTTGTTCAAGATGATAATGCAACACAGTCTCACTGAGGACATCTAAATATTGTTGCTGCTTTCTCAGCTTACCTGCCATGCAGTAGTTCTTCATATATCACACAGCTGGGAACACAGGGATAAACCCAGGGTCTGTACTAAGAGCTGCCTGAAATCCCTTAAGCCCATTCAAAAAAATGCCTGTGCAGTCCTCTCTGCCCCTTATTGCTTTAATTAAATTAACAGCTTGGTCTTAAATGGCAATATGTTAAAGTCATGGTTCCAGGTTAAGGGACAAGTGGGTAAGAGGGGATTATTTTGGTGTCAGGGTGTATAGATATTGCTAGTGGAGGCAGACCTTCTCTTCCTGACCTTTCTTTTCCACCCAGCAATCGTTTCACTCATTTTTTGCCAAAGAATCACACTGAGATGGACAGCAGGACTTGGACCACCACACCTATCTGGTACCTGGGCGCCATGTGGTGTTACAATTCCCCCAGTCCCAACAATCTCTTCCTCCTCCAGCATCCCTTCCCTACCCTAGTGCCCTTGCCTGAGCTGCTAGAGCACAGCAAGTCAATGTCTCCAAAGCATCATGCAAGAAAGTCTAGAGAGCAAGCTTGAAATGTCTCTCTGTGCTGAAGATTTGGTTGATTTATTCCTAATAAGATCAGCTCAGGGACAAGCAGCAGCCACTGGTGCCCAGACCAAGAGTTCTGCTTGCACTAGGGTACCAGTTCATCTTGGAGAAGGGGTTGGAGGACAGCTCACCAGAGCATGCACCCTCCTACCCCCACATCTGCCTACCCTAGGCCCCCTTTCCAAATAGGTAGGGGACTGAACCTGAGAACGCCTTTCCTAGCTTCTGCCTTGAAGCAATGCTTGCAGGCAGAAAGAAGAGCTGAAATACTGATGGAGAAGAAAGCCTCCTCCTTGTGACATCCCACCCTGCTGCAACAACATCTTCACCCATTTCCCCCTCTTCATTGGTGCTACCACGAGAGACAAAGAAATAGGGAAGAAAGGAATAATAGGAGATAAGAAACAACCTGTTGAGTACTGAAATGCTAAAAACTTGATAAAAAAACCAGAGAAAGCTGCCGCATGTATATTTCTGTCTTCACCTTTCATTTTAGCACATACATCTTTGTCCTGGGTTCAGCTACAGCAGTCTTTTTTTCTCCTTCTTAGTAGCTGGTGCAGTGCTGTGTTTTTGACTTTCAGCCTGGGAACAATGCTGATAACACTGATGTTTTTAGTTGTTGCTCAGTAATGTTTACTCTGACCAAGGACTTTCTCAGTCTCATGCTTTGCCAGAGAGGAGGGGAAGCCAGGAGGAAGCAGAGGCAGGACACCTGACCCAAACTGGCCAAAGGGGTATTCCATACCACAGCATGTCATGCCCAGTATATAAACTGGGGGGAGTTACCCGGAAGGCCCAGATCGCTGCTCGGGTCGGGCTGGGTATTGGTCGGCAGGTGGTGAGCAATCGTATCCTCTCCCTTTATTTCCCTTATCATTATTATTAGTGGTAGCAGTAGTGGTTTGTATTATACCTTAGTTACTGGAGAGCTGTTATCTCAACCCGTGGGAGTTACATTCTTTCAATTCTCCTCCCCATCCCTCTGGGAGCAGGGGGGATAAAGAAGACGGGAGAAGTGAGCAAGCGGCTGCATGGTTCTGAGCTACCAGCTGGGCTTAAACCACAACGATCTTTTAGACTCAGGTTCTGTCTTTTTTAAAAAGCAAAACAAAACAAAACAATTGTTTTCCTTCTAATCTTTGTGGGAGTAAAAAAGATTTTAAAATTTGTTTTGCCTCCATACATTCTCTCCTTCCTCTTTTTCTCTACTTTCTCTTTTCCTGCATCATTTACCTTACTACGACTCCCTCTCCCTTTTCAAGTTTCTCTTTTTCTTCCCCACTGTACCAGAATCAATCTCTTGCTTTTCCTTTCCCACCCGTTTTCTTGTATGGCTTTCTCTCCCTTAACTTTTTGATCCCATGCATCCAGGCCAGCATTCTCTGCTCCCAGCATGCTATCCACCTCCATCCCTTGCCTCCTATGCCATCCTGCTTCCTCCACCATAAATTGCCATTTACACCTTTCCAATATCCATACCAAGCTATGTATGTGTCTGTCTTCACCCTCATCCATATATCGCTGACTTTGAGCCCCTGGGATCAGTTGATGGGTGCAAGATCCTCTCCTGGTTCAGCCTGGCCATGCATGCAAGCTCTGCCCATTTTTTTCACCATAAAATCTATTGATGTCCCTCCTTGGCTTAAGGCTGGTATCATAAGTATTGCAAAACAGTAGGTATTTGAATAAGGAAAGATTTATGACTCATGCCAGCAGCTGTTAGCACAGGGAGGTGGAGGGGAGAGGGGTGAAGAAAAACGCTTAATTTTTCCAGAGCCTCACTCTTAAGACTGTGAAATTGAGTTTGCCCTCCCCCTGCCTGAGCAGCATCCACCAGTCTGCTCCTCCAGATCCCTACAACTGGTTGGCTCCAACTGCCAGTGCCTGAGGTGTGTTAATGAGTTTTATCTTCACAACATTGCCCCTGGCCAAGGAAGTACTAAATACAGGCAACAGAAGCACAGGGGAAAAGAAGCACATCCCAGTCTTACCGAGATCCTGTCCAAGAGCCTGTGCCATCCTTTTCTCCTCACTCCATGAACAGAATAAGGGCCAGGGTTTTTACAAAACAGGCACCTGGATGAGATATCATCTTTGCACACCAAAGCTACACTTCAAAATAGGGGTGCGAAACAGCTTCAAGGCAAGAATCTTGCCAAGTTTAGCATCCAGCAGCCTGAATCCACAAGATGATGAAAAGTCATGATGAGATTGAATACGCAGGGATACGTCATATCTCTTCACACACTGTTCTAAATAGTAAAGGATTTAATCAGAATATAAAGAGGGAACTGTAGATTTCACTGAATGAATAAGCATCCTGGCTCTTTGGAAGATCATGTCCATTTATAATTTTCTTGACTTCCAGACTCACAGATACTATTCCGGGATCCAGGAAAACCAACACACCAAATTGAACCAGAGCACCCTGTTTATTCCCCGTGGCCCCACTGAGCTGGGGACAGTGAGAAGGTGGCTAGGGACAGACCCTGATGTGGACACACCTGGATTCCCAACTCTACATGGGAGCAACACCCAGGCTACATCTCAGCTCCACAGAAGGTGGGGAGCCACCATTTATCTGAGCAGAAATGGTTTTCCTCCTGCTGAGGATGCTCTCAGCAGCAAGCGGCATTACCTCTCTGTCCAAGGGCTGCCGGAGCCAGACAACACCAGTCATGCTCTCCACAGCGAAGAACCGGCTTGCTTCCTCACCAACCACACCAAAGACCAGCGGATCGTTGTCCAGGTCCCGAGCCAGCAGCTGCGTCACTGAGGAACCTGGGAGAGACAGTGAGAAAGAAATCATGAGCAAAACAGGACAGAGAGGAAGAAATCCTTAAAACAGTCAGCTTGCCAGAGGATGCAGGTTTTCTGCCTTCCTCCCTTAAGTCATCCCCAAACCATTTTCCTGTGGTACTATCATGCCTCAAGCAGCAAGGGGAATCAAGCTGTGCATGGTCTTACTAGCGTAGTAAGCATAGCATTGTTCTCTCTAGCATAGATAAACCAAACCACAGTTCCTCTTCTCCCTCCCCCTTACCAGAAGAGAAAGCCACATTAGCTCAGCAGAAGCATAGCCATCTTGAGTGCTAGAGATAGTGGAGGAACCTGTGCCTCTTCTAGATAAGCATCCACCAACCTCCCTCACTCTCCCCTGCCAAGGGGTGCCACCAGCAGATACAACAAAATTTGCAGGTCAAAAGCAAAGAACCCAGTGGCAAGGGCATAGATATGATGCCCGCAAGTGCCTCAAGGCCCAGGGATTCGGTAGGGCCTGGAATCAGACACAGACCTGGGGTTTGTTTCAAACATGGCAGCTGCAGCAAGTGCTGGGCATCTTGGCATATGTGGCACCTACACACCTAGAGAGCATGAGAGGCACTGGGAAAAATCCATCACTACCTTCTGCCAAATTATATTTAAAACCATCTTCTGCAGCGTCCTGCAGAATAGTCCAGACAACAAAGACCTTGTACAGGCATGTGGTTGCAAATGTCTCTTCCTAACAGCACCCAAGAGGCAACACAAAGCCTCTGAAATTGTTGCATGGGGACCATGAGTACTGTCTCTGATATCCACACAGCAACTGGAGCAGCATGACTTCTATTGCTCTAAAAGTAAGGGATGGACACCATCTTCTCAGCCCCATAAGAACCTCCTCAAATCATTTTGGGCTTCTCCATGACAGCTCTGACCTCATTCAAAGTTTGCTGTGACAGGTCAGCCATGGCTGGCTGCCTGCCTGTCATGTACCCATCTGCTCTCAGCCCCCTCCTCAGCAGGATGTGGGAGAAAATTGGAGGAAAAAAGCTGGTGGGCAGATATAATGATGGGAGATCCTCTTGGCTGCCTCGCCTCGAGGATTGGAAGGGGACGCACCATCCCTGTGTGTGAGATATCTTTGGCAGTATGAGAGCACTCCAAGACCCCAGATCATCTGGCCAAGGGGAACAGATGCCACAATTCCATCCATCTGGGAAGAGAAGGAAAGCTCCAGCAGACCGCAGGGCAGATGTGGTGGCACAGCTCGGCAAGCAGAGTGATGTGGGCAATTACCAACCAGTTGGCCTGACATCAATCACAGTGGAAATAATGGAAAAAGCTGATATGAGATTCCATTAATAAAGAAATAAACGATAGGAACATAATTAATGCCAGTCAATATGATTTTATGGAAAGTAGGCCTTGTCAAACAAACCTGATTTTATTCTTTGATGAAATTACAATTTTGGCAGATAAAGGTAACTGCAAAGAAACAATAGACTTTTGTAAGGCATTTGACTTAGCACTTTGTGACTTTCTGATTAAAAACGTAGTGCTGTACATTGACAAAGCACACTGGAGTGATGACCCAGCTGTCTGGCAGGTTCCAAGGCCACCAACCATAATCAGGGTAGCATCCTAGTGTGACATAAAACTGCTGTTAGTACATACTCAGGGGACAGTATGGCAAAAAATGAGGAGGATCAAGCAGCCAGGTGAAGT